GGGGGGGGGGGGGGGGGCGGCAGGATCTAAGTTTGGGGGTTGAGGTTGTGGAGAGTGTAGGGTCTTAGGAGCAAGAAGGATTCCGAACACTTTGCTTAAGGTGTCGTACGGTTGATATAAATCCTGCATTGCCCATAGTGAGGAAGTTACCGCAGTTCCGATAGTTTGGGGTCCTTAAGGTAACGCAGATTTTATATCATCAACAGTATTTCACTCCGGCTTCACTACAGAAAGTATATCCCGAAAAGACGCTTCGCTCAAAGTAAATCGGCGTCAGAGTCTCGGATACTAGGGGGTGTCCCTAAACCCTAAACCCTAAACCCTAAACCCCTAAACCCCTAAACTCTAAACTCTAAACCCTAAAAGGTGTGACCACGTTGACCTCGTGGGTTCGACAGCTTTAGGAGTTTTGGGTTTAGGGTTTGGGGTTTGGGGGCTTAGGGTTTAGGGTTTCGGGTTTAGGGTCTTAAGTACGACGACCCATGTAGTAACATTATTGCTCAAGGCTCCGTTTTTCGTGTTTTTATTTTGCATGATAAACCCTGGATTTGGGCCCTTGGCCCAGCATCGAAAGGCCACAAAGATGACAAAGTCTGTCTGTCTATTTATTATCTGTCTATCTACCCATCTACCTATCAATCGGTTCATCTGTCTATCTATCTGTCTATCTATCTATCTATCTATCTATCTATCTAGCTATTCATTTATCTATCTATCAATCTATCTGTCTGTGTATCTATCTATCTATCTATCTGTCTACCTACCTATCTATCTATTCATCTTTCTTTCTATCTATTGATCTTCCTATCTATCTATGTATTCATTTACCTACGTATCCATCTCGAGGGCTGCGACGACTTGGTCTGAACGTGAAGCCTGCAGCTCAATCGGGCTCTATGAGAGAAACCCCGTTCAGAGGATGATATTGGATTTAGGGCTTAGGGTTTAGGCTTTAGGGTGCTTGGATCTTAAAGGGCCTTTTATTTGGATACTTGGACCCTGTACGTAATGTCTCCATCAGGCTTCGATAGGGGTTCTACAAGCTAGAAAATCGGGGGCCTGTTATTGTGGGCTTCAAACACCCTAAACCCTAAACCCTAAACCCTAAACCCTAAACCCTAAACCCTAAACCCTAAACCCCTAAACCCTAAACCCCTAAACCCTAAACCCTAAACATCAAGGATCCTGTTCTTCAGAGTTCCATGCCAGGATCCCCAGTTGTCTAGGATTCAATCGTAGGGTCCGGGCTTTGCAGGTTTGGGGCTGTAGGGGTCTGGGATAACGCCCCTATTCTAAATGCTATAGCCCCTACAATATATCTTAGGGCTTCCAGGCTTCAGTGTTTCACGTTTGAGGTTCGATTTTTACCGGGGGTCTGGTGCATTGCCTAAAATCTTACTGAGCCAGTGGAACCCTAAACCCTAAACCCTAAACCCTAAACCCTAAACCCTAAACCTAAACCGTCTCTATCCTTATGCCTACCCACAGGTTCCTTTTTGGGGTTCATATTTTTAATAATCCCAAAACGGAACTACTATGGGGCCTATGGGTATCCACATATGCATATTATTGAAATCCTACCGTTTTCTTGCAACCCTAAACCCTAAACCCTAAACCCTGATACAGGGGCCCAAGGCCCAAGGAAGCGCGAATTCTACTTCAGGGCTCCTTGGCGTAGTGTTAGTCTCATACGCCCCAAAACGCTATTCTAGCCATTACCCAGGGGCTCCAATGTAGTTCCTTTTTGGGTCTGTTATGGTTCTGATGGTAAGGAATAATAGTATACTATCCAAAGAGGAACTACATGGGAGCCTTTGGGTAAGGCCGGTTTAGGGTTTAGGGTTTAGGGTTTAGGGTTTAGGGTTTTGGGTTTAGGGTTTAGGGTTTAGGGTTTAGGCCCTTCTAGTATTCAAAGGGGGACCTTGCTTCCAAGTTGTTTGATTCGCGGGCCGGATGGGTCTTGAGGTGCCGGATGTTGGGAGCAATAGAGCGCCTTAACGATGAGGATAGGGTTTGGGGTATATTAGACCATAATTCTAATAAGGAACCCACAAAACACAAGTCACTGTTCTAATTCTTAAGGCCCCTACACTAGGCTTCTCATGTCTAAGGCCTTAAGCGGATTTGGAGCAATCGATGTTTCCATCGAGTTAACGGTCTAGGGTGTAGGGTCGGGTGTTTTGTCAGAACAGGTTGCTCATGAGACAATCGTAGGCCACTGACTCATCAGATTTTGCGGGAGTCGGAATGGTCAGCAATAGTTTTCCCTTGTAGTCCGTCTACAGCTGTACAAGAGAATACCCAAAGACCATATTTCAATTAGTCAGGTCCCTACAGACGGGTTGACTGTACAGGCCCCAACAGCTTTATGAGGGTTCATTCTTGGACTTGGGTGAGTATGGTTTCAAGAGTTTCCCTCAACCCTGATCCAGAAAACCCCTGAACCTCAATCCCTCAACTCTGAACCGTCAGTTGTGCCTTAGATCTAGGATGAAAAGTATGGGCCCCTACTCTTAGGCCTTTCCAGGGACCCCTTAAGGGTACATATAGGTGTATAAGTCTTGGAAGTTTTGGGTTCAGGGCACAGTGTTCAGGGTTTCTAGACTGGGTTAAGGGTTGTGGGATTGAACGGATCAAGTGACTTAGTGAACAAGCCGAAAGTATAGGCTAACTTCGGATAACACCCGAGTAATGATTGAATACCCAGGTTATGGTCTACTGCCCATGTAGTATGACCCTAAGAACCCCGGCGCCCAGTACAGTCCAAAATGGGTACGAGGGTTTTGGGAAGCAGGATCTACGTTGTCCCAACAAGTCCAGAACTCAATTCTAGAAGCATGTGGGTATTTGTCTAAATTAGGGTCCCTTTGAGGGTCCTGTTTATAAGGGTGCCGTACTATTTTGGCAACCTAAAAAGGCACCCCAATTTAGGTGCAGGTGCTCCTAGCTGTTCTAAGCACCCACATATGAGGACTTCAGGTTCCCAATGCTAGGCAATCTAGTTGGGTGAGTGAAGATCGCAAACCTCAACCCTGTACACTTTGAAGCCTGGAAGCCGTAAGGCCCAAAATCCGAAAACGCTGGTTATGCTGGTTACCGGGACCCCAAACCAGCATAACACCCTAAACCCTAAACTCTAGAAGCCCTAAACCCCTAAACCCCTAAACCCTAAATCCCAACCCTAAACCCTAAACCCCAAACCCCGATACTGCCCAGGGCCTTTCTGGCTACAGTGGCATCTTCATCGTTGCATGCTATGCCGCGCAGTGCGGTGTCTGCGCACCTTGTCACGGTTTTTGGGTTTTACGGTTTAGGGTTTTATGGTTTTAGGGTTTAGGGTGGTTTAGGGTTTAGGGTTTAAGGGTTTAGGGTTGTTTAGGGTTTAGGGCTTCGGGCTTCGGGTTTAGGTTTCAGAGGTTTAGACTTCAAGTTTAGGCTGAGGCCTAAGCCTAAGATCGTGGTCTCTGCCCTGGAGCTTGTGGTAGTCTAGGGGTCTGAAGAACTACACTATCAGGGTTTAGGGTTTAGGGTTTAGGGGTCTGAAGAACTACACTATTAGAGTTTAGGGTTTAGGGTTTAGGGGTCTGAAGAACTGCACTAACACAGTTATTCTCTTATTGTTGTTTGTTAGGGGTTTAGGGGTTTGGGTTTAGGGTTTAATTTAGGGCTTATTATTACGACTAGTATGGTGTGACTTTTTGTTTAAAGATAGTAGTAGTCTATAGCGTCCAGTTGTACCCCCTCTATTGCTCATAGAGCCATGGTATAGTATCCCGTTCAAGAACCCTACGTTACCTAGTAAGGCCCATACCCTAAACCCTAAACCCTAAACCCTGACCATATTATGACTTGGCCTCCGGCTCTTCTTGTTGTGTTGGAGTCTCCTTCCTGTCCTACGCAGACTCGTTGTCAACAAGCTTCGAGCCATTTGCGGCAGACCTACACCCTAAATTTCAACAACTCAAAAAACTGAACTAAAATACACACTGAAACTCCAAACTCTAAACCCAACACCCGCTAAAACCCTAACAAACCCTAAACTCTAGAACTCTAAACTCTAAAACTCTAAACTCCACAACCGTAAACCTTAAAACCCTAAACTCTAAACCCTAAGCCCTACACCCCACACCGAGTGCTTCCTTGCCGTTCAGGCTTTAAGGTGCTCAAGGGTTTAGGGTTCAGGTCGACATCTTTTAGGGTTTAGGCTTTAGGGTTGAGGGTTTAGGATTTAGAGGTTTGGGTTTAGGGTTTTTGGTTTAGGGTTGAAGTCTATGCTATTTAGGTACCTGGACTCTTAGGGTGAAGACTTAACTTGCTCGACGCCCAGATGGTCCAACACTATCGGTTCGTCACCAGCACCAACGGCGGCTCCATCATCGAGCGGCCTGGTTGCGTGGGGTTTGTGGTTTTCGACTTACTGCACATGGAGACTATTGGGCGTAGGCACATCATAATAAGAACTTGGCTCCTAGTTTTTGTAGTTTGTGTCAAAAAAGTACATATGCACGGCCGGAGTACCCATGTCTGTCTGCTGTATGTGTGTATGCACGTCATAGGTATGCATCCTTGTCTACTTATATATTTTTATTGTATATATACACACACATCTGTTATTGCACGTACACATCTACAGATGTATGTATGTATGTATGTATGTATGTATGTATGTATGTATGTATGTATGTACATATGTACGTATGTACGTATGTATGTATGTATGTATGTATGTATGCATGTATGTATTTATGTATCTATGTATATACATATGTATGTATGTATGTATGTATGTATGTATGTATGAATGTATGAATGAATGTATGTATGAATGAATGTATGAATGTATGTATGAATGTATGTATGAATGTATGTATGTATGTATGTATGTATGTATGTACGTACATATGTATGTATGTATGTATGTATGTATGTATGTATGTATGTATGCATGCATGTATGTATGTATGTATGTATGTATGTATGTATGTATATATGTATGTACTTTTTATTCGCATATGTGTATACATATGTACAGACACACACACAAACACAAACACACACACACACACACACACACATCTTTTTGTGTACTGCGCTGTGCCTGCCGAAGCTCTGTGCTCTGAGTCGCAACTGCAAAGCAAGTCTTCTTTGTCTTGCTGCTGCTCCCGCTGCTACCCACAGGATACTGCAACTGCCACGACTACTGCTCCCAAATACCCGAAGCCCTAAGCCCGTTATCCTAAACCGTAGATGCTGCGGGCTTTGTCCGCCTTCTGCTTCTTGAGTGTTGTTGTGGTATGTAGCGGCTCATTTTTCGACCCAGCAGGCCCGGATTCAGGGTTTAGGGTTTGGGCTTTGAGCCCTAAGCCCTTAACCCCGAAACTTCAGGGCTTAAGGCGAGAGCTTGGAGTGAAGATTTGTTCTGCCATTCTACAAGGCATTCGGAGGGGTAGTTCGCAACCTTAGTGCAGAAACCGTCAGATTTTAGTCGTGATTTTAAGTATATAAATGGGTACTGCCTCCATACAGTAACAGTCTTTAATAGGGCTACTATTAAAATTAAGGGCCTAATATATCCATAATATAAATATTATCCAACTGTTACTGAGTGGGGGCAGTACCCAATATGAATAGTATACTTAGTATACTGCAGTATACTATGCCCCAAAAGCCCTATTTTGATTACGAAGGCCCCTATGTTAGAAGCAGGTTGACAATGAGGACATGCCCACTTAGGGTACAAACAGATGGCTCGACCCGATGCCTTGAAAAAGGGTTCAGGTTCGGCTTCTACATCCGAGGTCTACAGCGAAGTCTGGTGTGATGACAAACACTGGGTGCTCATGAGTTTAGCCTTCGGGGGTTAGGGTCAGTTCAAGGAAAGTACAGGTTGGGAGTTTAGGGTTTTTTGGGGCTTCTATAGGGCTTCTGTAAGGTATATAGACCTTCTATAAGGCTCCTTGAACGGTAACTACCCACCTGAAAATGTCCTAGATTGAGGGCCTTGTAACCCGAATTCGGGAATCCTAAGGACTCTGCTGGAGACCAACGAAAACGACGTCAACGAGGATTGGTCAGGCCTTGTTTGTTGAGGGTGCAGGGTGGTTTTGGGCATAGCTTTCGATCACTGGGTACTTGGAGGATCATGGGACTTAGTAACCAGGGTTATAAGCAAGGTAACTATACCTATAAGCAATTATAACCCCAATTAAGGTAGTTATAACCCTAGTTACTAAGTTACTAAGTCCCACGATCCTCCAAGTATGCTGTAGAGTTGAGAGACCTTAGCCCAGCCAAGCTAGTAGGCAGAACCAACACCACCAACAAATCCAAGCACCTACCGAAACCCAGAACCCTTAAACCCGTTTGCTGAGAACACTTCAAGTTCAAACCCGCAGACCCCAAACCCTAATATAGGGGCCTTAATAATTAGTACAGGGTTTTGGGGGTATTCTATATTGTAACGAAAATAAGGAGCCCCCAAAACCCTGTTCTAATTATTAAGACCCCAAACCCCGCACTCTAAACCCTAAACTCTAAACCCTAAACCCTCAACCCTAAACCCAGACCCCACACCCCACACTCTAAACCTGTGTTTTCCACACCTTTGGAGGCTCAGACACCGAGACCGACTCGATGGACAACGGAGTAGGCCAGCTTTCGGTGTCGCTAAGGCGTTAGCAGGGTTTAGGGTTTAGGGCTTAGGGTTTAGGGCTTAGGGTTTAGGGTTTAGGGTTTAGGGTTTAGGGTTCAGGGGTTCAGGGGTTTAGGGATTAGGGTTTAGGGTCTAGGGGTTCATCAGGGTTTAATATTGCCCTGGGCTCGGCGTTGATTCGCAATACCAATCCCGTTAAGGCCCTATATCCATATCATATAGTCATCTAAATACACATAAAAATAAGTAAGTACATCTATATATATATATATACATAAATAAATACATAACATATATATATATATATATATATGTATATATATAGTAGTATTATATAGCCGTTCTGCGAAGCAGATGTTTAACGAGGCTTGCCCCTTTTCTCCACATCCCTAACGGAGCATGCTGCCGCCGTGGCCTCTTACAGTGCATGTCTCGTCATGCTAAAATGTACCCCCGAAGACGGTTTAGGGTTTAGGGTTTAGCCTTGAGCCCTAAGCCCTAAACCCTTGACTCCAAAGCCCTCAACAGGCCAGTTGAGGTCCAGCGCCAGCGTAGTCAGCGTCGGCGCCACCACGACGGATGCTGCTTGGCCATCCGTTCCCGGAATGGTTCAAACCCTAAACCCTAAACAGCAGTGCCAATCTACTAACCACAAAGCCGTAAAGTCTTAATTGCCGCCTAAAGCCCAAATCGAAAACAACTAGATCCAACAGAACCCTGCACACCCTCAACCCTGAAACCCTAAACCCTCAACACTAAACCCTAAACCCTAAACCCTAAATCCTAAACCCTAAACTCTAAACCCTGAACCCTAAACCCTCAACCCTAAACCCTACACCCTGAACCCAACAACCTGCACTCTACACTTTTAAGCCCTGAACCCCAGGAGCCCTTAAATACCGAAATCCCGCAGCCCTAACTCAGGGCGTTTAGGGTTTAGGGTTTAGGGTTTAGGGTTTAGGGCTTTTAGGGTTTAGGGCTTTTTAGGGCGTTTAGGGTTTAGGGCTTTTAGGGTTTAGGGTTTAGGGTTTAGGGCGTTTAGGGTTTAGGGCTTTTAGGGTTTAGGTTTTTTTAGGGCGTTTAGGGTTTAGGGCTTTTAGGGTTTAGGGCGTTTAGGGTTTAGGGCTTTTAGGGTTTAGGGCGTTTAGGGTTTAGGGCTTTTAGGGTTCGGGGCTTTTAGGGTTTTGGGCTTTCAGGGTTTAGGGCGTTTAGGGTTTAGGGCTTTTAGGGTTTAGGGCGTTTAGGGTTTAGGGCTTTCAGGGTTTAGGGCTTTTAGGGTTTAGGGCTTTCAGGGTTTAGGGTGTAGGGTGTTTAGGGTTAAGGGTTTAGGGATACGCCTAAAACCAAAACCAGAGAAACCCCTTAACCAAAAACTCTGGCTAGAATTTGGCTTCTGCCGGAGCGCTTCTAGGACCTTGATAACATGTTAAAACCCGAGAAAAACCTTCATTAGAACCACAATAGAACCCATACGGCTATATGCCATTTCCGACACTTTCTACATAGACTGTATAGCATACTTAAACAAACCCTGTAGACCCTAACGCCCAAACCCTACACTCTACCATACCAGCCAAGGAGCTATGCCGTGAGCAGTCGAGGATGCGGGATGCTGTGCGCACGGTGT